ATATTCTAGATATAGGCTTACCTTACCTGCCTGAAAAGCTCTACTAGTACTACAATTCATGGACTTTAGAGAATGCCTTATTACATCACCATGTATCATAAACAACATTAATTTTGAACTAGAAACTCATTTTACTCTGAGGGAGTATGGCAAGAGGTCATGCCCATGGAATGAACTGATCTTACCTCAAACCCACCACTTAGAAGCAGCTAGTTTGATAGAATGGAGGAAAGGTCTGCTGAGGGATCAGTTGTAGCGCTGGCTGTGAGGATATGATATAGGACTTGACTTAGTAGCCAATATTAGTTGCCACCTACCCTATATTCAGAATGCATGGACCTAGGAACCAAGGGGTGGAGGTAGGCATGGCTCTTCAATTATTCCTAATAACTCACTTGAAGAATTTTTATCTCTACAACTTTGTCTCTACAATTTTGTCTTTAAAACATTAGGCTTGGTGGATCCGAAGGCCCTAGTGCCTAGGGCACAGATACTTTTTCCAAATAACATAGTCATAGTTCCATTAAATAGGAAGCAGAAACTACCACCTAGCCAATATGAGATCTAAAGACCACTGAGCCAACAGTTAGAGAGAGAGTCGTTGTGCTGGTTGAGGTGATTGGACCTAATTACCAAGGGTAAATTGGTTGTTGTTCTACAAAGAGAACAAAAAGGACTATGTTTGGAACCCCAGGTGTGCACTAGGGTACCTCTTTGTATTCACATGTCCAATATTACTGGACAATGGGAAACTGCAGCAACCCAGTAAAGATAGGACCACTAAGAACTTGAATCCTATGGGAGTAAATTTTGGGTCACCCCACCAGATGGGATTCTAGTGGAGGGTGCAGGGAAAATGGAAGCTATGGTTATCACCTTGCACCTTGTACTCAAAAACTATCCTCTCTACTTTCCCTACTATCAGAAGCACAATTTTGTTGACCTTTTCTGAGTGGCTATGTCCATGAAAGGAGACTGAGACACTCCCCCATCCTAGGGGATAAATCTTGATTGGCCAAGCCTCATTCCTCTTGTTAAAGGAATGGTTTAGGCTTATACTCATAATTCTGGGCAATGACACATAAGGAAACGTCTGCTGCAGTACTTCTAGGAAGGTTTTCCTCACTTTTTACAAGGTACACAAGACACAGATAAGCATTTTTCTGTCTCTAGGCATGACCATCTGCTGCTGGTCATCTGCCGATGACTGGAATGGCAGATGCCATTTCGGAACCATGAGAAGAGCCCTCATTAGAAAATAAGCCGACATACTGAAGATGGTAGAGTGCAACCTTGGTCCCTGTTGAAAAGTCTGCTGGTATTCTCCACTATCCATTTCCTTTCTTTCTTTAGTAGTAGACCCCCAAAATTTAAATGGATACATGGTATATTTATCAAGTAGGTGGGACATGTACTGGTCAATAGTATTTGAGTAAAGGTGATACGTGCAACTCCTGAGTTGTACTCTAAGAATGGATATTTACACTTCTTCCCTTCTATCTGGCTGGAATAAAGATGTGAATGCCCAAGCAGCCATCTTGGATTATATGATGGAAGTCCCAAGTTAAGGGTGGAAGAAAGTATAAACAGCTTGGATTCCTTGCTGTTTTGAAGCCACCATATTAGCCTTGGATCGTTTATACTCAGATTATTTCATGAGAGAAAAATAAATATCTGTCTTAAGCCACTGTAATTTCTTTATAGCAGCCAAATTAAATCCTAAGTAATGTAGTCCATGATGATATTGAGCTGATGAGTTAGCCACCATAGAACCAACCTATCTTCAAAAAATTTTTGTTATGTAACAGTAAATATCCTTTTTGTTTAAGCCATTATGAGTTATAGCCAAAAGCATCCTAACTGACAGAAATAATTTTTCAAGAGTGCTAACTGTAAAGGGAAGCAGCAAGTTGGAGCATAAGCTATTGAGAAACTACTGATTGAAAGAATACTTTTCCTATGATGGGGGGAAATGAGCATGGTGAAGAAACCAATGGAAGAAAAAAACAATTGAGGATATAGGAATGAGAGAATAATTTACGGAGTAACATCCCACAGGGGCCAGAAAGAGAAAGGATCTAGAGTACGAAAGTACAAATGAAGGAATATCTTTTCTTCTTCCTTTTTTCTGATTTAAAATAAAATTGACCTTGACTATTTAAAAACAGCCTTATTAAGATATAATTCACCTGGGGCCGGCCGAGTGGCGCGATGGTTAAGAACTGGCTTGGGACACCAGAGGGCCCCGGTTCGGATCCCACATATGAGGGCCAGTGAACACTGCCCTCCACAGTTAAGATGCTGAACAACAGCTCAACCTGGAGCTGGGCTGCCGTGAGTTGCTGGCGACGGCATAGGCTGCAGCCCCTGCGGCAGTGGGTTGCCATGGGCTACCGTGTGTAGCCAGCAGCCAGCGTGAGCGGCCAGCAGCCGCAGTGAGCGGCCGTCCAGAAGCCGGCAACTGATCTGCCTCTCCCGGGAAGAGCGCAATGATGGTGCCAACTTGGGCCAGTGAAGCAACGTCCTCCACAACTAGACTGAAGAACAAAACGACAGCAACTTGTCTGTTCCCCTTCCCCAATCCCCCAGCACTGTTCCCATCCCCCCAATTCCCCAATAAAAATCTTTAAAAAAAAAGATATAATTCACCTACTATATAATTCATCAGATTAAATAGTATAATTTAGTGATTTTTAATATATTCAGAGTTGTGCAGAATTGATTTTACAATCAATTTTAAAACATCCTTTTCTAGTTTCTGGTTTATCCTTGTATTTCTCTTGCACAGATGAGCAGATACATTTAGTTTTTCATATCCTTTTATTTCTTACAGGAAGGAAAAGTGTTTGCACTTTGGTTTTTTTCCCCATTTAGCAGTGTAGTCTGGAAATCAGTCTATATCAATTCATAAAGCTCTTCTGAATTTTTTTACAGCTGTCTAGTATTGCATTGTGTAGATGTATTATAGTATATTCAACCACTCTCCTGTTTATGGATATTTAGGCTGTTTCCAGCATTTTGTAATTACAAAACATGCTGCAATAAATAACCTGTGTATGTTGTTTTTGTGTACAATTGTTTTTATGAAATCCGTACTTTTTTTTTTAAGCTGAGCCATCCTGCCACCTGTTGGCAGCTCAGTGGCAGCTCAGCTTGGGCAGGGACTTGAACCGCTGTTGCTCAGAGCTCGCACTCTTGAGCAAGCTCTTAACCAAATGAGCCACTTGGCCAGCCCTTCTTTTTTTTTTTTTTTTTAATGGGATTCACTTGAAAGGGATTATCAGTCTGGAATGTGAGCTGAGAATTATAGTAAAGAAATTTAAGAATAACAGGACACACTTGTTTTTGTTCTATGAATTTGGTTTGTAGGTACAGGGGTGAGATAATTTCTATCTTCCTATGTTGTTTCATTAGTGTTTAGGGAATGACATTCTAATGAACACAGCCCCCTTTAAAACTGTAATGTAAACTATAATGTAAATAGTGTTCACAGTTCTGAGATCACTAGAACCATTAACTGAAATACGGAATGCATAAGATTTGGCAGTAGTAGGTAAGAGAGTTTGTTTTTTGACATGTTGATTTTGAAGTGTCAGTAGGAAAACAAAGATGACCTCAGGCAGTTATAAACTTAGCTCTGTTATGATGATTCTTTTTCCTTATGAGAGCTTAAGACTAGAAGTATAGATTTGGGAATCATCAGCATGGAGGTCCTGTCTGAAGACACCATAGTAAGTCGTATGGAGAGAACATAGAATGAGGAGTTGTTTATGATGATGAATAAGCAGAGACTAAGGGCGCAGTACTTAAGAGGCCAATAGGAACCTCCTAGGCAGAACTGACCTGTAGAGTGTGGGCAACAACCAAATACAGGAGAAAAGTGAGGAGGTGAGGAATGAGATGATGGTATCTTGAGGATGAAGTATTGTAGCATAAAGGGACAGTGTTTCTAGGATACTGAAAACTAGGTTTGAAGGCAGAGAAGGAAGAAACCAGTGAAAAGGGAGAGACTGAGAATATTTTTTTAAGTATGTATTGCTTTTTGCTTTCCATTCAAAATTGTCTGTAATCTTTGTGGCTTCCAAGGCTCACCCAGGCTATGTAGTATGACTTTACTTCACATATTTGTCAATATAACTCCAGACTTTATTTCTGCAAACCTAGTGGGAAATTTTGCCAACTAGACATTTAGTTACAGATTATGATGAATCTTCAGCTTTCATTTATCTTGATCTTCTTGATCTAATTTTAAAAGGCCTGTTCAGTCTACAGGAACAAAAATGTGTGATACCCTCTTTACTAATATGACCTTGCTTTTAAAATGGGGGGAGGGGAGTGGTGCCTGGTAGATAAATGCATATCATTTTAATTCTTTAGCTATATAAATGTTTTCAGCATGCTTGTACTAATATGTAACTGCTCTAGGAAACAGGTATGTGAACATCCAGTATAATGCAGTATATTGGTTTGTGTATTTCTGTGACTAGATAATGCTGTTAAATTCTTTGAGTGAGTGTGTGTGTGTGTGTGTGTGTGTGTGTGTATGGGGGGATTGCTCTGTGTGTGTGTGTGTGTGTGTGTGTGTGTGTGTGTGTGTGTGCCATTGAAAATGTTGCAGTACATCCTCAGTCACTGTCTTCACGCTCTAGGGGTGGGCCAAGGTAGGGAGGGTGTGACGCTGGTATTTGTGTGGACTCGGCTTGTGATGCTGAGCTTGGTCCATCCGTTTTCTCCTCCCTTCTCCTCCCCGCTCCTTCCCACCAGCGCCACAGCAACATCCTCTGAGCCTGAGCGAACTGCGCCCAGGCGGGTACAGAGACTCTCACCGCCTGCAATCTGGGCCCGGGAGAAGGGAGAGGCTGCAGTGACAGCGCCTCACCGCCACCAGTCCCTGGACCACCATGGCCAAGAACCGCAGGGACAGAAACAGTTGGGGTGAGTAAGAATATGGTGACTTCTGCAGCCTGGACGGGGACTGGCCCTCTACTTTCTGCTTCTGGAGACAAGGAGGGCCAAAGGCTCCTCGGTGCCAGCGTCCAGGGCTGGGAGACGGCCACGGCCGAGCTGCTCCCGTCCGGCGGGAGGAACCGTGGCCGAGTGCTAGCCGTGTAACCGGAATCGCGCCGAGGGCGAGGGCTGCCGCTTCGCGCAGGCCGGAGCCTCCTGGCTCTCCCCCACACCGCTAGTCGTCCTCCCAGCATTTGGACAGCACCCGCCGCTTGCCTCCGGAGGACTCGCTGGTTCCGCTTTTGCGATCAATAGGCTGGCAGGAAGGCGATGAGGGTGGGCAGAGGGCTGTTGTTACTCAGCCGACAGGGGCAAGGGGTCGGGAATCCCAACCCCCGCTTCCCTAGGAGCTGCGAGCTCCAGGCGCAGCGGGAGGCGCTGGAACAATGAGGCGGAGCACGCCGACCCCGGCTGGGAGCGTCGCAGACCCGAGCAACCCTGGAGAAGGGGCGCCTGCTTGGGAGTCCTCCAGCGCTGCAGTACGGGTTTAATGTGGGGATTGGGAGAGGAATTTGGGAAGAAGGGAAGCAAAGTTGAGGTTTCCAGCGTCCTGCCCCACCTCGACCTGGTACCCCATCCAGGCCAACACTATGGGTGGCATTGTTCTTTGATTTTACCTTTTGGAGATATTGGGCTCATGATTCAGCACCAGGACGAGGGGCGGGGGAAGAAGAGGCTAGGCCCAGTGGGTTCACGCCGTGAGTGGGTGGGCGGCGCTCACGTAGGCGGAGAAGAGAGAGTGCAGTGATGCAGGAGAAATCGCGGCCCCGCCTGTTCTGCTGCTCCAGACTTGGTTCAGGATGATTCGTGTGGGCAGGTTGGGCGTCTTTTTCCGCCTGGGGCTCCCAATTTTTTCCAGTCACAGCGCTAAGCTCACTACCATTTTAGGAATGAAAGCCTTTTAGGGCATTTTATTAATCCAAGCCAGAGCAGATCTCAGGCCACTGTGGTTTGGACGGTAGAGAAATATTTTTCATTAGCGTTGGATTATTATTTGGAAAGTTTATGCCCACTGTGAGTTCAGAGCTCCCTGATTCTCTTCCATGTCTCAGTGGGATCTCTTCTCTGTCCATCAGACCAAGAGGTGTACATTTAATTTTAACTGGTTATTTCGACTTACTTTTATCATAAGGCCGTATTTCTCCATGCCTCTGATTGGTCACAGAACCAGTTTAACTACTAGTAGAAAAGGTTTACATTTGAGAGTTTATCCAAGGTTTGTGGTAGACCTGGAGAAGCTGGAGCAAGGAGGTCTGTCTTTAGTGGGCTGCATTTAAGAGAAAGTGGTTCCATTTTCCAAAATCACCAAACACCCATTTTAGTAGGTGTGACTATTGTAATAACACTGTTTTCTTTGCTTCTGCTGAACTATGGGTAAGCTTTTTCAAATTGTCCCCTTTCCACTCCTCTCCTTGGCCTCTAGAATAATAATTTCTTGAAAACTCACAGTTAAGGTGTGCATGTTCAAATCAATTTTGGTCTTGATTTCCATGCCTTGTTGACTCCACAATGTTAAGAGATAGGCATGTGAAAATTTACCCTGAGGATTAAAGATTTTCTCCGTCATGAAGCTTTGGATCATTATTCTTTAGTATTTCCTTTGGTTACAGATTTCTTATGTAGTGGAGGTTTTTTCTTTCTTGGGAATGTTGTTCTCAAATGGAATTCACATAAAACTCACACTGGGAACTCATTAGGAATGCAGATTCCCACATCTTCCAGCCAGAGCTTTTGAATCAGTAGGTCTGAAATGAGGTCTAGGAATCTGCCTTTTAATTAACATTTTAGGTGATTGAGAAGCAGGTGGCCTTTGGATATTACTTTCACAAACACTATCTTAGATTATTTATATTTGATAGACACATATCTGAGACAGTTTACCCAGAAGTCATCAAGAGAGTTTCAACTCAAGTGATGAATTAGGAAAAGAAATACTAGAGTCATTATTTGTTCACTGGAAATTTTGACAGAAAAGAAATAGTGGAATTGCAGCCTTATCTTGATGCTCTTATGAAAATGCTTTACTACTCAGATTTTTTTTTCTGTAAAGTATATATGACATAAATTACTTAGGAAATATAGCATATGGAGTAGGAGATAGAGGCTTTTGACTAAGAGTTAGCCATGTCAGTCTTGATTCCATTTTATTACTAGCACCTAGTATAATGCTTAACACATAGTAGGCATTTAATAATAATAATAGTTAACATCATTGAACTAATGTCAGTGAGGTAGGTACTATAATCATTATTTTACATATGAAAAGGTAAATGATAGAGCCAGGATTCCAAACTCTGGCCTTTTGACTTCAGATTCTTTTGTTTTTACCACTATACTTTACTGCCTCTTCGTTGAATGGATAATACCTTCTTCATTGTATAGAACTACAGTTTTCAAGGCACATTCACCTGCATTATTGCATTTTATTTTTAGCTTCTTAAATTGGCAGGACATGTTCCCTATTTTGCAAATGAAAACACTGAGCCTAGGGTAGGTTAAATAACTTGGCTAAAGTCACATATTTAGTAAGTTAGAGGACTAAGATTAGAACCTAGGGTTGTTGTCTAATTTATTTTGTATAGCATGATGCTATGGAATGTTTTATGAGATAATGGGGCATGGCTGAGGGGAATAGAGAGAACAGGCCCCCAAAGAAGCCAGAAGTCTCTGATGAGAAAAAACTCAGGTGATAGTTTATAAAAGACTGATCTTATCATCTACCTAAATAAATATTTTTCAGACAAGTTAGAAAGCAAATGGCAGAGGGCAAAGGTAGACTATCCAAAATTGGAATATATAGTGATTTCCAAGAAAAGGACAAAAAAGATATTTGTAAAATCTGTACAGGAGACCTACAAGGTCTGACAATTACTTTTGTGAACTCATCCTAGAAAAAGTGCTACATACCTCATTGCTGAATATCACTATGGTCACCTTTGAAGTACTCCCCTTGGGAAGCTATGCACCAATGGCAGCACCTAGTCCACCCTTGAAAGCAATTTTGGAACTCCTTTTCTGGAATGGCCATCAGAGCTGTCATCATATTACCCTTGATGTCCTGAATATTATCAAAATGTCTTCCTTTCAATATTTTCTGTATCTCTGGGTAAAGAAAGCGTCATTGGGGGCCAGACCAGGTGAGTAGGGAGGGAGTTCCAATACAGTTATTTGTTTACTGGCTAAAAACTCCCTCACAGACAGGGCCCTGTGAGCTGGTGCATTATCTTGATGCAAGAGCTCCTTCAGGATCATTTTTGCACACACCTTTCTCATGCCAAGATTTTCAGTTAAGAATTTCCTAACTGTTTCTCTACCGATGTTTACTTGGTCTGCTCTGCTTCTCATAGTCAACCGATGATTTTGATGCACAATTCAGTGAATTTTTGCAATGTTTTTGTCAGTTCTGCTCGTTATTGGCCGCCCTGATCTCTCTTCATCAGTGATTCTCTCCCCTCAGAAAAATGTTTAATCCATTTGCACACTGCCATTCTCTTCATGGTATTATCCCCATAAACTTGGACTAACATGTTCCTGATTTCACTTCCACTCTTGCCAAGTTTAACAAGAAATTTGTTTGTTTGCTGCTCTAATTCAAGCTCAGACATTCTCGCAACGGTACACAAAAACACGCAACAAACAATAATGAACACCACTCAGCAAGACACCACCACACGTTGACACGAACACACCTGTGAGACACTGATATACCAGGGTTATGAAACCTTACCGAGCTGTTTGTACAGTGCTGCCAATGGAAGCTCATGGTAGCCAGTTTGCAAACTTAATTGTCAGACCTCGTAAAATTCAGATAAAGACCCTGTAGGACCATATAACAAGTGTTTGTATTGCCTGAGTGGTCCGAGACCTGTTAGGTTCTATGAAGGCCATGAAAGCTAGAGAGCAGAAAAGCATCTCTGCTGACACCCAGAATTGGGGACGGTGTTCAAAGATCATACCCAGAGATACAACTGGGAAGCAGGTCTGTAAGACTGAGAATCCCACCACCTATAGCTAAACCTACACTGAACTAGAAGTTTGACTAAATTTAAGCATTTAAAAGCCAATTCTTAGGGCCGGCCAGGTGGCAGAGTTGGTTAGAGCGTGAGCAGCAGGGTCGCTGGTTCTATTCCCACATGAGCTGCGCCCGAGCTGAGCTGCCGCTGCCAGCGGACGGATGGCTCAGCTGGTGAGAGCACGTGCTGTTAACAACAAGGTTGCCAGTTTGACTCCTGCATGGGATGGTGGGCTGCGCCCTCCCGCATCTAGATTGAAAGCGGTGACTGGACTTGGAGCTTAGCTTGCCCCCTACACAACTAAGATTGAAGGACAACAGCTTGACTTGGAGCTGATGGGCCCTGGAAAAACATAATGTTCCCCTTCCCCAATTCCCCAATAAGATAGTTTAAAATAAATAAATAAATAAATAAATAAATAAATAAATAAATAAATAAACAAATGTCAATTCTTCATAGGTAGGCATTACGATCCTTATTTTAATATATAAGGAATCTGAGACTCAGAGAACATAAGTAACTTGCAAGAGTTTCCATAATTTATAAGTTAAATACCTAAGATTTAAATTTAGGGTTGTTTGCTTCCTAGTCCACGTGCTGAGGACAAGGAACTAAAATAGTGTGCCAAAAGGTGCCACAACAAGCCTACTATCTAGGTTCAGCTGGTATAAGAAAGCAAGGCTCTATAAAATTTATCGCCTTGGACTAGAAAAGAAGGCAAAGAATGTGCTAGTGTGAAAAATAAAGGGGACAGATGAATATCAGAGTCAGTAGCCCAGAAAGCAGTCTTTCAGTGTTGGGCTTAGAGAGCTGAAGTACTACCAGAAACAAAACAGAAGTGTATCCTTTTTTGTTTATTCGTTTTAGTAATTACAGTTGCTTAAAGACTTGGGATACCACATGGGAATTTGAGTT